GAAGCTCACACCAAAGCAGGCTAGGTGGCAGGATTTCTTGGCCGAGTTTGATTATGCGCTGGATTATAAGCCGGGCAAAGGTAACATTGTAGCTGATGCCTTGAGCCGGAAAGTCGAGCTTGCTGCAATCACTTTAGGGAGATGGGATATTCGGGAGGATATAAAAGAAGGCATGCAACACGATCCAGCAGCCAAACAACTTATTGAGTTAGCCAACCAGGGCCAGACGAGACGTTTTTGGGTAGAAGATGGCATATTGCTTACCACGGGTCAGCGGGTCTATGTGCCTAAGTTTGGAGACATTAGATGACAGATAATAAGGGAGAGTCATGATACAATGTGGGCTGGTCATCCATCCCAACGTCGCACCATGTCCTTCGTTGAGTCAGTCTACTATTGGCAACGCATGCGAGATGATATAGAATGTTATGTGCAGACTTGTCTTGTATGTCAGCAGGACAAGGTTGAGCAACAACAGCCCATAGGACTTTTGGAGCCACTACCAGTTGCAGAGCATCCATGGGAGAGCGTGACTATGGACTTTATCACTTGCCTACCAAGGTCCAACGGTTATGGTACTATTATGGTGGTCGTGGATAGATTTTCCAAATATGCCACCTTCATGCCCGCCTCACCAGGTTGCACAACCAAGGAAGCCGCCAAGCTATTCAACCTACCGATAATGGCAATCCGTACGTGGATCTCACCATCAATAACAAGACCGCTCGTGCAATGGTGGATATTGGAGCAACTCATAATTTCGTAACTGAGGCTGCCGCAAAGAGACTATAATTGAAGCTTGCTCCAACCAACTCTCGCGTCAAGACCGTGAATGCCGAAGTACAAAATGCTCGTGGGGCAGCTAATGGAGTTGGTGTCAAATTGGGAGCTTGGGAAGGTATGGCAAACTTTACCGTAACCGCTATGGATATCTTTGACATCATACTAGGGCAAGAGTTAACTTGAATTGTTTGCTTGATGAATTACAAATGAATGACCCCCTTTATATACTAGTATCCTAGAGGCTAGTGTGTAAATATTAATTATTACACAAGTCCTTGATTTTTACAAGATAAGAGCTTTTTCTAAAATTCTCTACAAGCCTAGAAGATTCCAATGACTTTCCTAGCAAATCTATAAGGATCTAGGTTCTTCCTAAGGAAATGTCCATACCTCTCTAGAATCTTCTCACAAATGCTAGCCTTCTTCTTATGTAAGCTTCCACATAGCATTAATATATGCCAAATGGAGCCTATGTGGCTTGCCGACTTGGCGGTTCATCACATAATACTCTTTATTTATGTCATTTACCGGAGATAATATGTTCTTCCACCTTTTCAAATAAAAAAAAAATTATAGCCAGGTAAAGAAGAACAATTCGTTTTCTGGTTCAAGCAAGCAAACAATCACATATTCGTAATGCACCTAAATATATATACGTGCACATTCAGTTAAGAGAATTTTTTCACCAGGCGCACGTTATGTTACGAAGTATGCACTTTAGTTAATCTCAAATATTGAAGACCAAAGTCCTGAAGAACATAAACTGACTCTATATCACTTACATAACAATATTCTCCCAAGTTTTATTGAATGGTATATGTGTCAAGCACCAAATCAAATACGAATAATAACCGCACAAGTCCTTGTGCAGTGTAGTAATGGGGAGAGGGTAGAGATGAGAACGGGGAGCTGATTGCTGCATTTTCAGTACATGTACGGAGTAGTTGTAATAATATAGCAGCCAAGTTCAAAGGAAGTTGGTGACTTGAGTCCTCAGACTAGTTCATTGAACAAGAAAATTTAAACAAATTACAAAGATCAACTCATATCTACTCAGAGTTGATCTCCCTCGGAAAACAAATCACTGCCTTTGTTGAAAAGTTAGTCTTGTGCTTCCTAAGTTAAAACATCTATCAAAATACAAACCAATATGAATATTCATTTTAGATCTTGCCAGCTTTCTAAACCTATTCTCTTCAATGTTGTAGAGGAGAGGCTTCTTCCCGCCGTCAATCATAATTTCACCATTGTTACCGTTTAATGGTACATACCCCATTATTTTGAACAAACTTCCCATACCTGATAAATTGATGATGTGTTCCTTGACCCATTCTTGCTTCTTATGATCCTTGAGAACGTATAGATCTATCCTTGACAATTCTTCTGATTGGTAAGCTAAACATAATTTCCCATTCAAATCAGCTAACTCACCATTCTCAATTATTGGAAACTCTTCATAATAGGGATCTTTGGGGCAACCGACGGAACTCAAGAATTCTTCATTCTCAATTTCCATCGAAATAATATGATTTTCCATTCTATCTGCTCTTCCAACTAACCAATAAATTACATTGTTTACACATGTTGAATGAACCTTGTAAGAAAACCATTCTTGGTGTGCTAGGGATTGCCAAGAGCTAGGAATTGGTCCGCCATCTCTTAATGTGAGGGTCTCAAATCTGAACTCCACAGCACTACCACCATAGTTAAAGTTGTAATTAGGGCCAGTCTTGGTACCATATAGATGGACAATCTTGTATGTATTGTTGGAAGGGAAATAGGAAACATCAAAACTAACTGAGGGATAACTTGAAATTGGTAAGTTTATGATTTCTTTAGTAGTGGGATTGCATACCTTGTGATTGAAAATGATGAGGTTGGAGAAGATGAAGAAAGAGTGTTCAGGGGCAATAATATCCTCAAAACTGAAATTTTTCTGGATCTCGCTGTTGTCAACAGCGAGATCCATGGTCGAAATAGAAATAGTTCGACTAATCATTTCCATGCCACTCGGTGAATGCTTGTAGTCAGATACTTGAACTACACGTGCTCGAGGACGATTCAAGGATTTCATGTTGTAGAGTCTTCTGAAATGTGGACTAGAGATAGTTCTGAGCCACAGCTTTGAAACTGTTTGAAGTTGGTGGACATGTTTGACTGCAAGCCTGAAAAGTATATCCACCAGGACTTCATTAGGCAGATCGATGATGTTAGAGCTCCGTTCCATTGTAGAGTCCATTCTTCAACTGCTTAATTTGTGATACAAAACAAAGAGGGAGAGAGATCTAAATTGTGAAAAGAGCCTTCATTGACGTTCTTAAAGACATGCCTAGCACCTTCCTTTGTTGACGTAATTAAAATAAATATATGACAGCTGAGTAGGTAAGAAGACATATATTTTACTAATTTATTACTGTTAGTAGACTGTGCTCGAAAATAAACTCTGTAAAAATAAAACAGAAATAGAAACAGAAGTAGGAGAACTAAAATGTTCTGAGCCCAATAGAAAATTATATTTTCTTAATGAATTTAATCCTCTCACTGTTCGCCAAGGTTATTGGATTAATTCCTCCCATAATATAATACAACAACTATTTTATAATATTGACAAAGGAAATTATAGAACTTCAACAAATTCAACAAACGGTTGCAAATCACACTAGACACTTACGTTTTTCACTTTCACATTTACACATTTAAAAACAACATTTACCAGTTAATTAGGGCCTTGAGTCTTTTCATCAATGAATTTTTCAAATTCTTTGAGAAGTATTTCGTGTAATTGTGCTAAATGCCTAAAACAGTGACAGTGTATTACATTGAGTCATGGATATCATGTCGTAGAGTCTTCTGAAATGTGGACTATAGAGATGGTTCTGATCCACAACTTTGAAACCGTTTGAAGTTGGTGGACATGTTTGAGTGAGAGCCTAGAGAGTATATCCACCAAGACTTCACTAGGCAGAGCCATGATGTTGGAGTTCAGTTCTATATTGGTGTCCATTTATCATATCAGCGGCTCAAAATGAGATAAGGTTCACAGAGTTATCATACCATGAAGCCGCCTTGATTCCCACATAGAAGGAAAAGGTGCGAAGGTGTAACGACCTGGATTTCCCACCATCGGGAGTCGTGATGACGCCTACTAGGCAAGCTGATTATTCCAATTATTTAACTCTTTTTATTTTTAATCCATTAACAATTGCGAGTTTACATCTTATAAATAGCGAAAATATTAAAGCGGAAGAATGAAATGTAACAATTTAAAATAATACCGATACAAATTCGTAGAACACAAGCTACCCAGAACTGGTATCACAATCTCACAGACTATTTAAGAATACTACAAACAGGGTCCGAACAAAATAGATACATGTCTGTCTCAGAAATAGTAAAGAACAGAAGAAAAACTAGGTAAGAAGGGGACGCCAAGACCTGCGGACGCCTGCAGGACTACCTCGGGTCACATGATGGACTGAAGGCAACAACCTCACTATGGTCCAAAAGCTGCAGCACCAGGATCTGCACATAGTGCAGAGTATAGTATCAGCATAACCGACCCCATGTGCTGGTAAGTGCCTAGCTTAACCTCGGCGAAGTAGTGACGAGGCTAGGACAATACTACCAAATAAACCTGTGCAGTTATATCATATACAACAAGTAATAATGACATAAACTAGAAGTTAAAGATGGGAAGGGGAAACATGCTACAGGAATATCATGTACAAACAAAATCTCAGTAAAGAAGTGAAAGGAACACAAAAATCCAACCGTAAGTAAGAATAAGGAAATCAAAGACAATTGCACAGCATCACCCTTCGTGCTTTTACTCTCGTCCTCACTATATGAATCAATATAATCAGCACGACACCACCCTTCGTACTTTTACCTCACATAATCATGACACGGAATTATCCTTCGTGCATTATCACTCATATCATGACACGACATTTTACATCGTGCAGTACGACATCATCCTTCGTGCTTTTACCTCACAATATCGGCACGATATCACCTTCGTGCATTAACACTCTCAAAATCATGCACGACATCACCCTTCGTGCTTTACACTCTTCCTTACCCAAGCAACAATCATAAAGCAATTTGGGCAAGGGAATCAATAATATCACAATAAAATCCCGGCAAGGGAACAATAGCATAACAACAATATCCTGGCAAGGGAAACAATATCATGAGTAATAACATCCCGGCAAGGGAGATAATATCAAAACCAATAACATCCCGGCAAGGGAGACAATATCATAACCTCTTCTCTTTTCCACGATTACTTCACAACTCAATTCTCAACTTGAGCCAACGCTCTACAATGTTCAATAACCAATAATACTTCCACAAGCCTTGTTCAACAATAGAAATCATCATATAAAGCATGAACAATACGAAACAGAGTCACATTAATCATAGTATAAGACTCACGGGCATGCTTGAAACCGACGTATAGATACTCATCACCGCACCTATACGTCGTACTCAACAATTAACACATAGCAAATAAGACACAACTCCTAATCCCTCAAGCTAAGGTTATACCAACCACTTACCTCAATGCCACGAACATAATTCAAGCCTCAACTACCGCTTTACCTCTTGTTTCCACCACCAATTAGCTTGTATCTAGCCACAATTTACTTAACGATAACAATAAATGATAAATGAATCAATTCTAATGCATGAAAATAAGTTTTCTAAAGATTTCCCCAAAAAGTCAAAAATCAACCCGGACCCACATGGTCAAAACCCGAGATTCGAACCAAAACGCGATTACCCATTCACCCACGAACTCAAATATATAATTTGTTTTAAAATTGGACCCCAAATCAAGGTCCAAATCCCCAAAATTTTAAAATCTTAAGTTCTACCCCAAACACCCAATTTCCCCTATGAAAACCCTTGATTTTGAGTTGAAATCATTTGAAAAGATTTTATAGAATAAAGAAAATGAGATAGAAATGACTTACAATCGATTTGGAGATGAACTTTTCTTTGGAAAATCGCCCAAGAGAGCTTAGGTTTTGAGGAATTTTGAAAAATGAAGAATTTTCGTCTAAGTTTGATTTTACACAGGCGCATATATCGCATTTGTGATGTCATGTTCGCAAACGTGAACTCGCAATTGCGGCCAAAGCTTCGCAATTGTGAAGGAAGGCCTGCCTCTACTGTTTTTGCAAATGCGAATAACTGTTCGCAATTGCGGTGCCTGCTAATGTTGCATTTGCGACATAAGCCTCGCAAATGCGAAGGTTCCCTACCCCAGCCCATCATCGCAATTGCGATGTTTCTTCGCAAATGCGAGCTCGCATTTGCGAGCCAGGCTTCGCAATGCAGACCTGCAACCCAATAGCAGTTTTCCTAAGTCCAATTTCTCCCTGCGGCCTATCCAAAACTCTCCCGAGCCATCGGGGTACCAAAACAAACATCCAACGCAAGTCCAAAACATCACATGGACTTGCTTGTGCGATCAAATCATCAAAATAACATCAATAACTATGAATTAAGTCTCAAATTCATGAAATCACTCAAGAACATCAATATTTTGAATTTTTCAAATAAATGTCCGATTTATACTAAACGGACTTCGATTCTTACCAAACTTCACAGATTCAACTTAATTAATATATATATATAAGACCTGTACCGGGTTCCGGAACCAAAATACGGGCCCGATACCATCAATTTCAAACCTCTATTCATTTCCAAAAACTCTTATAATTTCAGTTAAATAATTTCTTTCAAAAATTTATTTCTCGGGCTTGAGACATCAGAATTCGATTTCGGGAATATTCCCAAGTTCCAAATTTTACTACGGATCCTATGAGACTATCGGATCACAAGTCCAAGTCCGTTTATCAAGAATGTTGACCAAAGTCAATTTTATTCAATTTTAAAAGCCAATTTCCTTATTTTACTTAGTTTTCACATAAAAGCTTTCTAGAAACGTGCCCGGACTGCGCACGCATATTGAGGTAAGACAAAAGATGTTTTAAGGCTTCAGAACACTGAATTTACTTTCAAAACGAGTGATGACCCAAAGGTCATCACATTCTCCACCTCTAAAACAACCGTTCGTCCTCGAACGGACATAAGAAAAATAACTGATTCGTAGAAATGATGGGGATATCAGCTCTACATATCAGACTCAGACTCCCAGGTCGCTGCCTCAACAGGCTGACCTCTCCACTGAACATGAACAGAAGGAAAACTATTCGATCTCAACTAACAAACTTGCCGGTCTAGGATAGTTACCGGCTCCTCCTCATAGGACAAGTCCTTGTCCAACTGGACAATGCTAAAGTTTATCACGTGGGATGGATCACCGTGATACTTCCGAAGCATGGACACATGAAACACTAGATGCACGACTGATAAACTCGGTGGCAACGCAAGTCTGTAAGCCACATCTCCCACTCGATCAATAATCTCAAAAGGACCAATGAATCTAAGGCTTAACTTGCCCTTCTTTCCAAACTCATCACGCCCTTCATAGGCGACACCCGAAGCAACACCCGCTCACCGACCATGAATGCCACATCACGAACCTTACGGTCAGCATAACTCTTTTGCCTGGACTGAGCTGTACGAAGCCTATCCTGAATGATCTTGACCTTTTCCAAGGCATTCTGTACTAGATTCATACCCAACAACCGAGCCTCTCCCGGCTCAAACCAACCAACCGGTGACCGACACCGCCTACCATATAAAGCCTTATAAGGAGCCATCTGGATGCTCGACTAGTATCTGTTGTTGTAAGCAAACTCCACTAAAGGCAAGAACTGATCCCACAAGCCTCCAAAGTCAATAACACAAGCTCGGAGCATATCCTCCAAAATCTGTATAGTACGCTTCGACTGCCCGTCCGTTTGAGGGTGAAATGTTGTGCTCAACTCGACCTGTGTGCCCAACTCTCGCTGAACTGCCCTCCAGAAACGTGAGGTAAACTACGTACCTCAGACAAAAATGATAGACACGGGCATACCATGAAGACGAACAATCTCCCGGATATATCTTTGCCAACCACTCAAAAGAATAGGAGACATCCACCGGAATGAAATGCGCTGACTTGGTCAGCCTATCAACAATAACCCACACTACGTCGAATTTCCTCTGAGTTTGTGGGAGTCCAACAACGAAGTCAATAGTGATGTGGTCCCACTTCAACTTAGGAATCTCAATCTTCTGGAATAAACCACTAGGTCTCTGATGCTTTTACTTTACCTGCTGGCTATTCAAACACCGAGCCACATATGCAACAATATCCTTCTTCATCCTCCTCCACCAATAATGCCGC